CCCCCCCCATCCCCTACCCCCAAAAGAAATAAATAAAGGAAACCTTTTTCATTTTAGACTTTAGTAAGGTGGAGAAATAGTTGTGAATTTTGCAGAAGCGCAAGGTTATATTAGGCTTAAAATTATGGGTTGAAGTTGCTAGAATGTAAAGAATATTTTGGCTGCTCCGGAGGTGTGAAGTAATGATGAGTTTTGAATGATGAAATTAGGCGTAAATGGTAAGAGTGGGTCAATAGATTATAATGGTTTAAATCAACCAATCTCTCTCTCCACAGTCACACTTCATAGCCATTGTTTTCTCTCTATCCAACTATATGTATAATCTTGCTAGCAAGAACATAATTTTTTCTGTTCTTTTGGTTCTAAGAAATCTGTTCAATATTTCTCCTATCTGTATGTGTGTGTTTATATGTGTAGAGGGAGAGAGAAATCTATATATACAGAGACAGAAAGAAAAATTCATGTGTGTGTGTGTGTGTGTGGATGAAGTCCATGATTGGCCGCAAACATGAACTTTTTTTTGAAGTTATTTCTGGATGAATTAAAGCTAAAGGCATTTAATGGAGAAATGAGGCATCAATTGATGGATGGGGCAGAATGGGGTTGGGATTTGGTCAAAGATTGAAAGGGATTCTGTACAAAAAGGGGTGAGATGAAACTGATAAAATCAGTGTTGTAAAAAGCGTGGCTAGGCATGCACCTAGGCCCAAGGTGCTTTCAGGACCACCAACAGTGCTTCAGGAGGTTCCAGCCGAGGCGCTTTGGACTGGGGCTTAAGAGCAAGTCATGAAAAGGGATGGCTTTTTTCATTTGGGATCTTTTGATTGAATGACTTGCTAGGTTCTGCTTCTTCTTCTTCTTTGGCGTCTTCTGTTTTTTTTTCCTTCTTCTTCTAACCCGACTGCTGCACCTGGGGCCATCTATTTTTTTTGTGGTCTTTTTCTTTGAGTACTTGCTACTATGTTTTTTTTAGAATCTCTTTTCTTCTTTGTTTCTTTGTCGTACATATAGCACTATGGTGTAAAAGGCATGAGGTGCATCTGTCTCTTCTCTTTTCACATTATATTGTTTACGACCATCTGCTTGTTTGTTCCTTCCGTAATTTTTCTGTCAGTAATTTTGTCAAAGTGATGTAACCGTTTGAACAAGCCGCTTCAATTTCTCTAAATTAGATTCAAATTTCTATTTGAAGTTTGAACTATTTGCTTCAACTATTTTATCTAAATTTAATATTTTCTCCAACTCAGCTGACTTCAATTGGATTTGAAAAGTTGGAACGTGGGTGCTTTCAAATTTTGAAATGCTCATGTTATAATTTTTTTTTCTAAAATCCTTAGCCTTCTTCGATTGTGAATTGTAATTTTTATGTCATGGTTGAAGAATTTGTGATATAAGGAAAATATTCACTTGTAATTTACTAAGTGCGTTTTGTTTTGATAAAGCCTGGGCTTTGCTTTGCGTCTAGACCACAGAGACCTTTATCCTTCGGTGTGCCTTAAATAACACTGGTAGAACCATTGTTGAATGCGACATTAGTTAATTGAGAATAGGTTTGAATCGAGTCTTACTTGTGCTTTAAATGTTGAGTGATACTCATAATTTCTTAGAATTGTTGGATGTGGAGGGTGGTATTAGTAGGAGTGCAAAAGAATTGAGCCAATAGAGCACCAGACTGTTCTGCTTGGGTTGTTTGCTCGCGAAGAGTGTTTGGTATAGGCTCGGAATCATGATGTTTCAAGCATAATGTTGAATCTCAACCCATTAATTTTTCCCAAGATCGGTCTTTGGTTTATTTGACCAAACAAACCAAGTTTGAGCTCGTGTTGTGCTTAAAATTGAATTTATACTTGTATTCAAGATCAAGCTTGTGTTCAAGATCGAACTCATACATACATAATATTTTACATCATACATGCACAGATATTATGCACCAATGTTCACAAGCTTAATGGGCTGAACATGCAATCGCTTTTTTAATTGAGATTGAGCACAGTTCATTTGATAAATGAACAAACTTGAATGATCTTTTGTACAAGCCAATTCTTAGTAGTTTGCGAACAACACGGTTTATTAGAAGCCTAACTTATAAGATTGCTACACTCTTTTATTTTTTGTTACATTGTGGCTGGTTCAGGATGAGTGTGGTGTGTTGTACCCCGTTCTACCGAAGTCCCTAGGCTTCTCAAATGGTAAAGGCTGTTGGAAAGATCTTTTAATGGCACTCTATTGAATTGATCTGACCTACATATGAAATGATCTTTTATTAGGTTATTAGTAATAATTCTGTACCTGAAAATACTTTTCAATACCAAAAATTAAGCATTAATTGTACAACATTTATATTTTAAATAGTAATTTTTATTTTTTTATTTTTCTTTAATTACATAATTTAAAGTAAAAGTGACCAGGGAGAAAATAAGTGAGATGTAGGTGCAAGGATCAAAATATTGTTTCAGTGTATTGTTTCGGTCACCTAGAAAACGGAAACGTTTCGACACGTTTCGGAAACATAATGAAAAAAATAAAAAATTTAAGAATTATTTTTCTAAAACATTGTTGAAAATATGTCAAATTATCTTGAAACATTCTAAAACAATTGTGCAAATGCATTGATATATTATAATACATTTAAGAATATTATAGAACACCTCGAAATATCAAAATTTCAATTCCATCATTGTTTCGTTTCGGTCTCCTTTGAGAAACGAAAACGTTTTGGATGTTTCGACCATTTCAAAATGATATTTTGATCCTTGAGGTGTGAATTAGTATGGTTATTTGGTATTTGGGAGTATGTTGGTTAAATTGTTTGATATTGGGGGATGTATAGAAAAGATGATATTTTTGAGCAAGAAATTTTTTTTGGGTTGAATTTTGTATCATTGGATCGAAGTAGACGAAATTGTTGTGTTTTTATAAATTAATTGAGTAGTCAACTTACTAAATGTAATTACACCAAAGTAATAGAGGTTTTAAATTTTGACTAGCAAGTCTTTCTTCACATATGTAAGGAACAACTGTAGGTGTAATCACACAACTTAGTCTAAATTTGTGAGATTTATTTATCGACACAAATTAAGATTGGTTGACTCTGTAAAATATGATGAAGTTTAGATAAATTTATTTATCGACACAAATCCACATTTAGAATAACATTTATGCTACTACCATGGACATATTGCCTTGGACCAAAGAGGAGTACCAGTTGTATTGGGGTTTGGGGATGTGCTTTGGAATTTTGTACATCTTTATTTATCATGTCTGGGTTTTTTTTTTTTTAATTATTTGACTTTTAACTAAATAATATAGTGGGTGTGCTTGTCACTGCACACAGGTGAAGATGTGTTAGGGCATGGGAGTTGGATATGTTCAAACAGAGATGTCCTGGTTAAGGATAAAAAATTTCGTTTCGGTGAATTGTTTCGGTCACCTAGGGAACAGAAACGTTTCGATGTATTTCGGAACGTTTTGACCCATTTTAGAAAGATAATAAAAAAAATAAAAATTTTAAGATTTATTTTTCTACAACATTGGCCAAAATATATTGAAGTATCTTAAAGTACCTTGAAACAGTGCGAAATAATTGTGCAAATACATTAAAATTTACAAAACATCTTGATACATTATGGAATACCGCAAAATATTAAAATTTGATTCTATCACTAATTTGTTTCGGTCTCCTTGAAAACGAAAACGTTTCGGACGTTTGTTATCCACATTTTTGAGACTCCTGTTGAAACAGTTGATCAACTACAAGCTGTGAGATTGATCTACCATCTTATATATGGTGAACAAACATCTTAAACTTGTTCTGCCTCACAACACACACACAGACACATTTAAGTCAACATTATGATTTGAAGTTCAGATCCTCTACTCTTCATTGTAAGCCATGACCTCCTTGAATTGTGCTTTCTTTTGATGCACACCTTTTATCATGATTAGTACTTGGCTGATGTATAATATATTTGACTTTGACACAGGCTTTAAATGCTCAATCCAGGGCATTGCTTATGCAGAAGCTGGATCGCAGTGGTAGTGCCACAAGGTTGTGCGTGATACCATCTATTACTTTCTAGTGTCCTGAGATCATAGCATAAACCTTTTGTTTTCTCCTTTGCAGTGTCACCAGGTCCGTTGGAACACCCATGCTCAATGGATCAGCTCCATCTCAACAAGCTATTAGCTTGCCTATCAGTGGGCCGGCTGCAGTTCCTGCTCAAGTTTTTTCATCACAAATTGTTACAGCCTTGGAACCTATTGGGAACCCCAGCGAGTGTTTACTTTTGAAGAACATGTTTGATCCAGCCTCTGAGGTTTGTAATCTACCTGTTATTTTTTATTTTTCATATATGTTTCCCACAATTATGTTTGTTTCCCTCATCTGTCTTGTATGAAACTAATTGGATATTAAAACTATGTTGCAGGCTGATCCAGAGTTCGATATGGACATCAAAGAGGATGTAGAAGAAGAATGTTCCAAGTATGGATGGGTCAAGCATATATATGTGGACAAGTAAGTATGTTGATGTAAGATTTATGTTGGTTATTATCAGAGTTCCCATTGTCCCAAGGTACTGTAATCTATTACTTGATGCTCTTTATGAGTTGTACAAAAGTTTCCATGCCTATGAAGTTGCATAAACTACTTGGCAGATATTTTTGTTGTCAATTCCTTACCCTGTTCTTCAAGATTGCACCTGCTAATTTTACAGCATGTTTGGACCAGTTGGTGGATTTTTTTGTCCCACCAGGATTGAAGGAATTGTTTTGCAAGAATTTCTGGATTTTCTTCTTGATGTGCCTTAATTACATTCTTTAGAGTTGTACCTTCAGAAATTGCTGCCCTCTGCTTCCAGTTTATGGTTGCAATCCTTGCTGTATTTTTTGTAGGTTTTTTCCTTTGTCACTAGTATAATTACTAGCAAACATTTTTTCTAGAACTCTTGGGCTCATGTTATTAAATGTGTGATAGTTGTTGATGAATAAGTTTTGAAATTTCAGGAACAGTGCTGGTTATGTATATTTGCGGTTCGAAAATGTGGAAGGAGCACAACGTGCTCAACAAGCAATGCATAAGAGATGGTTTGCACGCAGATTGATTTCAGCCATTTTTTTGGTAATATTTTTTGACCCTTGCAAGAGTTTATTCTCTTCTCTTGAACTCACAAAAGACATTGTTTTCTTGGGATTCCTATTAAGTTTGCATTAGTGAAGTATATCCGAATAGCATGGTTATCCATCGTGATGTGAATGTAGGATGACCCCCTCCTGAGAAATATAGACAGGAAACTTGAAGAAGCTTGGTCGACATGGAGTCCTCTCTCCTTGGATTTAAAAGAATTGTTTTTTTGGGAGCTTTTCCTGAAACTGTTTGTTAATTTTCTTTTTGAGCTGGCTTGACATTGGGGCTGAACTTGGGCGATCCAGCCCCATAAATCCAGTATTTGGGCACACGTCTCTAGTACTCTGGTTAGGCATGAACAAAATAACCCCAGCCCGATTCAAATTTGGTTTGAACTCGGGTCTGGGCTGACTGGGTTCAACCCGAACTCAATCCAAATGAAATCAGGCTCAACCTGATCTCAACAGGGAACTGTATGTATACGCGCGTGTGTGTGCCGAAGAGGCTGTGGCTATGCTCGTCCACATCTCTTTTTATTCTCTGTTCAAACTATATTCGTAATTTCACACACACACACATGTATATGTATATTTCATGTGCGCGTGGATGTACAAAAGAGATTGGGGCTGGGGTATCTGCGTTGCCAATCTCTCCTCATTCTTAGCTCAAACTTCTACTCCTTTTCGTTTCTTCTTCTTGTCTCTCCGTACCACCCACGTTAAAAAACCAAAATATCATTATGCTTTAAAACACTACTTTTTGCAGCACTGCTGCAAGAAAAATAAATAAAGCAAAAGAAACAGCAAAGCAAATGGGAGGAATGTGAAGAACACTTCAGACTCTTTCTTTATCGTGATCAGCCTGCTTCTCTTTCTCTCCCATCTCTAGCAAAATGTCTCTTTATCCCCAAATGCTTTTACAAACCACCACAACATACTCTCTATCTCTCTCTCACACACACACTCTCTCTCCCCCCCTTAGATTCACACAATCGGTCTCACCACCGCACCGTGCATATCCTTCAACTCTCTCTCTCTCTCTCTCTCTCTCTCACACACACACACACACACA